GAGTCGTGGCCTGAAGCCCAGTTATGATCTAATGCTTGAAAAGAAAGGTGAGGGGGTCAGGAGCAGCCAGCCCCAGGGCAGCCTTTGGAGGTTTGTGTAATGAAGGCTAAGACACAGACGCCACTGAGACGCCCGCAACTTCAGAGCCAAGCGGGCCCTGAAAGTTCCTGTGAACAAGGGTTTCTCAAGGTTTTTCTTTTTAAGAAATTTAATTGGGGAACAGTGTGTTTTTCCAGGACCCATCAGCTACCAGTCAAGTAGTTGTCTTCAATCTAGTTGTGGAGGGTGCAGCTCCTTGGCCCATGTGGGAATCGAACCGACAACCTTGGTTTTATGAACCTGCGCTGTAACCACCTGAGCTAACCGGCTGCCCTTTCTCAAGTTCTTTTGATGGCAACCCACAGAATGTCATAAGATTTACACCTGGACCCAGTCAACCCACACACACCCACTGTAAAAACAATTCGCTGAAGCAGCACTTTACTACTTGTGACATATCAAACACATGCATGCACATACACATATAACATACACACATATGCATAAGCACACACACACATGTGTGCACATATCAGATGCAACCCTCTCAACAGATGTCATGACCCATTAATGGACCAGGGCTACAGTTAAAATGATCTATCAAACTGGCTCTTGTAAAATGGGAAGGGTCGGGGTCTGCCCAAGGTCACCCAGGACATGTGCAAAGTCGGGACTAGAACCTGGTGTCTAGTTCCCAACACTTCTAGTTACCCCACATTTGGACAAATAGAATGTTAACCCAACTGAGCGTACAGGAGGTAGTTGGATGGTTTGGGTACAAAATCTCTACAGCCAGACAGGGTCTGGTTCCATGCTTCTTGCAGGGCTTAGGAGGCACCTGAAACATTGCAGGGTCTCGGAGTCACCACCATGGCTACTGGTTTCCACTGAGCCGGTGGGAGTCTCGGTGGCCAGGCTCCCTCCAAACCTGGTTTTCTGTATTGAGTTCCTAATTCTGACTCCCGGCTGTGGTTTCCGAGAGGACCCAGACGTGTTCTCTGGGTGTCTGTGATCTAAGGCAGCACTGATGGAAGCAGGTGAGGCTGCAGTGTGCAGGAGTGGGGGGGGGGGCGGAGTCTGACTCAGTGGGCATTTATGGAGTGCTCCCTCTGTGCCAGGCCCTGTGCCAAGCAAGGAAGGAGTGCTGGGAGCAGTGAGGCATAGGCCCTGGCCCCAGTGAGCCCAAGCCCTGGGGTAACACAGTCCTGGGTCTAAATCTCCACTCTGTCATTCTCTGGCTAAAGGTTACATGCTCAACCTCCATTTACTCACCTATTAAATGGGATAATTATGCTTACCTGATGGGTTGTTGAAGGGATTAAATGAGATCACCTGTTGGAAAGTCCCTGGCACATGGTAGGCAATCAGTAAGGGCTAGCTTTTATTATTATTACTAGACAAGAAAAAAAAAACGCAATTTACAGGTAAAGGTAGGGGATGAACATTCTAGAGGGAAGAAACAGCTCGAGCAGAAGCAGAGCAGAAAGCATGGGGCAAAAACTGGGAGATCAAACTGGAAAGGCTGTACAGCCGCCACAGGGGAGACCTTCAATGTCAGGCTGAAGAACTTGGCAATGGAGAGCCACTGAAGGCCTTTGAGGAAGGAAGTGATGCTATCAGAGAGCGTGAAAGAAAAGGCGGATAGAGGGCCCTTGACTGATGGTAGCAAACCCCTGCCAGGGGTTCACTTATTGCATAGTAGTGAGTTTTCTGAATTCATCAGGAAAGAGGATTCTGTCACCATCCTGGGAGGCTCCTCGGAGGTGGCAGGATGTTTGAGGTTCCCACCTGGGTGGCGTGTGGGTGGGGTGGGTTTCTATGGCCAACCAAAAGGTGAGTGCTCCAGTCTCCTCCCCATGCTGGTACAGGTCCCAGGAGCAAGTGTCGGAAGGAGATTACCAAGTGTGACCAGAGTTGTCCTTGTGTCTGCAGTAGCATCCGGACGCACACAGCAGCTGGACCCTCATTATCGGGAACAAGCCATGCAGGAAGCCCATACTCCCTTCTGGACATCAGAGCACTGCAATTTCTCCCCCGGGACCCTGAAGACACTGCCCAACATGGGAGAATAATGGAATGCCCATCCCCTCACCCAGTGCAAGTCCAGACTAGGGAGACTTCAGTGACTAGTAAGGCAAAGGGTGAGCCACCGGTTGTCCAGACTGCCCCACCAGAGAGGTCAAAAGCCCATGACCACTGTACTGTCTGCCCAGCTCCTCAGTTCCTATTCCCACACTGGTCTGTGAACTCCTTGAGGGCAGGGACTGTTCATTCATTCATTCATTCAATCCCTCATTCACTCAACAAACACTTGTGGAGCACCTGCTATGTGGCAAGCATGCTATTGGGCACTGGGAAGACTGCAGTACAAACCAGAGCTTGATCGGAGCAGCGGAACTACCATGGGATACCTACATATAAAATAAGGGATTTTTTAACAGAGATTTGACTTTCCATGATTGTGGGAGCCAGCCAGTAAAACAGTCTGTGAGAGGCCATTTATTTTTGTGCTGATGCTGCGGCTGCTGCCCGAGGTCTTAGGGCCCAAGTCGCAGGGCAAACAAACTGCAAGGATGCGTGGAACCCAAGAGGAGGGCCTGGAACGCCCTCCAGCATCTCACCACCTCCAGGTCTCCAACAAGAGAAGCTAAGGAAGCCACCTGGCAGGGTCAGTTTCAAGCGCCAGTGAAGGGCCTGTATTTATAAGGCCACCTGCCTGTTGATTGTCATTGTATCTGTGTTATCTGCCTACTTTTATATAAAGCCCTCCCCAGGGAGGCATTTATGGTCTGAACTGTACATTTCAGTATCTCTCTTGGAAGGGGGGCCATGCAATTTTGAGAGAGACGACCTTTCTGATGATTCTCTTGCCAGCCAAGAGATAGTCAAATAAAACAGGGAGACTGCCTCTTCCCAAGTTTCAGCTATCACTTGGCTTTCATCATTTCCCCAGAGCTGTTCACTGCAGTGAGCGGGGGTCCAGGGTAGCAGGCATGGAGGACCTGAGCGGGGTCCCCTCCACTGCGGAGGAAGCTCAGAGCCCCGGCCAGACTACGCACCCAAGGACCTACTGGAATCCTAGGACGCAGTTAGAGCAGAGAAGAAACGGAACTTGCTCTCGGGTGGAGTCCAGGGGGTTCTCCTGAGAACCCCCAATGTGGATGAGCCCCAGGTTCCATTTTCTCTCTCTAGGGACTGGAGTTGAAGACAGTGGGAAAGTGGCCAGAGCCCAGAGTTTAGAACCAGCCTCTGAGTTCCAATCCTACGTCTGCTGTCGACATGCTGTGTGACTTTGGGAAAGTCTCCTAACCTCTCTAGGCCTCAGTGTCATGGTAGGTAAATGAAGGTTCTCCATGGACCCTTCCAGCTCAAACCCATGTCAGCCTGTAGTGCTGCTTCCACAACCTCACAGCATCCCTCGTCCGCAAAGCCTGTCTGCACCTCTCTGAATACTGGGTCTCCCAGCTGGGATGACCCAGCAAGAAGGATCTGCCCACAGCCCCTTCTGCAGAACTTACCAGCAAGGTACCACCCTGCTTGCCACCTGACCCTGAAGGGAAGGGAGAACTCTGAGCCGGGTCTCTTCTCCATCATCCAGAATATTGAAATAAGAGAAATGGCATTACGAGTGAAGTGCTCCATTTCCTCCACAGACCTGTTTAAAAATGGATTTGGGAAGTGGCTTTGGTTCAAATTATTTCATGAGCAAATTGGACATTTGAGCCCCACTCTGTGTTATATTGTCAAATATAGACACAAGACCATAGCAAACTTTTCTAAAAAACACCAGTACATTCAAGGTCATCTCATAAAATTAAATTTTATTTTGAAAATGTTCAACTTTGGAGGTTTTTAAATATAGATTCCATTTATCATGTGGTTATTTTGGGGCCTGTCAGGGTAAGGAAGCCAAAAGTCCTTTCTCGGACAGGACGCCCCTTTCTTTTGGAGTATGTCCTTTCTTCCTGCCATCTTGGTGTTAGAATACCCTTTCTTTTATGAATTGCTAGGTGAGTTGGGGTTTTTAATATCCTTACTTGGTAAAAATAAACCCCGTACTTGAAACCTATTAAAAGAAATGTCCTGCTCTGTGAAATCCCAGCATCTCAGCATCCCTGTGTCAGCCCCAAGGTGGCTTCGGGTTTCCCGATTTACATTGCAAGAAACATTACATTTTATTTATTTTTTTTTAAAGATTTTTATTGGGGAATTGGGGGGAAGGGAACAGTGCTAGGGAATCGGGGGAAGGGGAACAGACAAGTTGCTGTCGTTTTGTTCTCCAGTCTAGTTGTGGAGGACGCCCAAGTTGGCACCATCATTGCGCTCTTCCCAGGTGAGGCAGATCAGTCGCCGGCTTCTGGACGGCCACTCACTGTGGCTGCTGGCCGCTCACGCTGGCTGCTGGCTACACACGGTAGCCCACGGCAACCCACTGCAGCAGGGGCTGCAGCCTACGCCATCGCTGGCGATTCACGGCAGCCCAGCTCCAGGTCGAGCTGTTGTTCAGCATCTTAGCTGTAGAGGGCAGTGTCACCAGCCCTCATATATGGGATCCGAACCGGGGCCCTCTGGCGTCCCAAGTCAGTTCTTAACCATTGCGCCATTCGGCCGGCCCTACATTTTATTTTTTAGAGAGACTGAAAGTCAGAGAGGTTCAGAAGTGGGCTGGGGCCACCCAGCTGGAATAGCCAAGCTGGGATTTGAACGTGACCTTCTCTGGCCTGGAAGCCCAAGCTGGCATAATTGTCAATCATCTTCTCTCCATTCCCTCAAGGAAGAATGAAACCCAGTGCTTGGCTTGAGAGGACCCCCAGGTTTAAGGAGATGAGCCCCCAAAAAGTCTTGATGCTCATATCAGAAAGCCATCTATTTACTAATCTGTATCTCTATCTCTGAGAGAACGTGGTTACGGTTGGGTTTAATGCCCCAGTGGCGGAGAAAGAAGCACAGGCAATCCCCTATAGCATGTGTTTTATTAGTCCTGAGAAGGAATTTTATTTAATATCTACAGGTGAGATTTATGGAGTCAATTTTGCTTCTCCTTGTGTAAAATGCTCTAGAGCAGCGGTTCTCAACCTTTCACAGGGGTCGCCTAAGACCATCGGAAAACACATATTTTCGATGGTCTTAGGAACCGAGACACCGCTCCTCTATCCATCTTCAGGGCCACATGCAGATGCACCCACATACGAGTACCCGGCAACCCCTGTGAAAGGGTCATTCGACCCCCAAAGGGGTCGCAACCCACAGGTTGAGAACCGCTGCTCTAGAGGGTGGTAGTGCTCATCACACTGCAGAAGCTGAAAAGTAAATACACCCCAGGAAAGTCTTCCTCCTGGAGAAAGGGCGCTGTCTTCAGAGGCGAGAACGGCCAGCCTGGAATTAAGAGTGAGCTCTGGGCACCAGAAGGACCGACCTCACAAGTAGAGGCCAGGGACCCTGATCTTGCCAAGTCCTAGGACCAGAGTCACTCTCTTGGGAATCTCTGGAGGGTCAAGTTGGTGAGCTTCATGTTGTAGGAGAAGGGAGCAAAAGGCATGGTCTGGGAGGAGCTCCGTGAGGGCAACTACATGCAGAACATGTTGGGAAAGTATTTATAACCAGGATTGTAGGTCCTTAGGTTTCTCTTCAAGCAGTAGGCAAGCTTCCGGTCACAGGTGCAGAGCTGCACCTGGCAGGAGGACCCGGGCTCTGCAAACAGGACGCCAAATGCAGAATGAGGAAGGGAAGATACATTCTACTGACACTGACCCCCAGGCTGCTTCCATCACGACCTGCTTCCAGGCTGAGCAGTCTCCCAGCCGGCTTCCTGCTCTGGGGAAGCTCTCAGTCTGATGAGGGAGGCGCAGCGTCTACACTGGGGGAGTGTATAATCTGATAGAAGAGGCACAGCTGCTGCCCAGGGTGAGGATTCAGCCCAGCAGACACAGCCGCTGCCCTCAGGGAGTGCCCAGTCTGATGGTGGAGACAGGCCCTGCTCTGGAGGAACTCCAGTTCCCATAGAGGAGACTCCACACCCAGACTCAGCTTTCAGTTCAGATGCACGTGACCTTGCATCCCAACTCCAGCTGTGTATACTGGCAAACCTCTGAGTTTCGGTTTCCTCATCTGTAAAATGGGGAAGACTAAACCTACCCAGAGGGTATTTTTTTGGAGGAAGCAAAAGGAAGTATGCACAGCATTTGTCACCTAGTGAACACTGATGCTGAGATGTTCCGGCCCTTCCTCTGGAGGTCGGATGCAGCTGCCATATTCCTGCCCCTCCGGCCCCTAGCTCTTTGCCCCAGGATATAGGCTGGCTGACCTCTAGGGGCAGCTGAACTCAGAGCCAGCTGAAACCCAGGCTCTCCCAGTGGCCTGAATGGGAAGCTGCAGTCTTACCACAGATGACCAGGCCCCGTGAGAATCTGTATATGTATGGCTGTGTCCGGATACGGCAGCCTTTCTCCTCCAGCCGCCCATAGCAGTGGTCATGCACAAAACAGCACCTGTCAATGCAAGACACTTAGATCCCGAGTGGAAGGGGCACGTCACCTAAGCAGAGGCCACATTGGTGGGTGTGGTCTGGCAGAGAAAGAATCTAATAAAATGGCTGAGTGCTTCCCTGCTCTCCCTCTAGGGCTGCCTGCCACTGGCTAGCAGTTCGCTGACCTTTCTCCTCTTGGGCTCAAGGTGAGACTACATTTCCCAGCCTCCCTTGCAGGGGTGTGTGGTCACACGACTAGATTCCAATCACCGGGGGAGTGGGCAGGAGGGATGTACACCACTTCCAGACCTACCCAGAAAAACCTCACACGTTATCCTCCACTTTCTTTCTCAATCTCCCAGCTGGATGAATAGAATCTAGCCAAGGACTCTGAGGCCATAGGGGATGGTAGAGCCACAAGATGGAAGGAACATGGGTCCCAGGATCAACATGTTTGATTGAACTGTTATATGAGCAAAAAAAAAGTAAACGTGCAGTATATTAGGGGTGGCAGATGGCATTTAATTTTTTTTTTCTGATAAACAGAAAACTTGTGAAGGTTGTACATAGTGTTCCCATTTACCCCACACCCACTTTCCCCATTATTAATGTCTTATATTATTAATATGATAACATGTTACAAGTAACAAACCAATATTGATTGATATATTGTTATCTAAATAATTTTTAACTAATTAACTAAATAATAATATATCATGATTGATTCATTCATTGTAGAAAGTGCATAGCTTATTCAGATTTCCTTAGTTTTTACCTAGTGTCCTCTTTCTAGTCCAGGGTTCCATCCAGGACACCCCATTACACTGAATCGTCATATCTTTTTAGGCTTTTCTTGGCTGTGGCAGCTTCTTGTTTTTGATGACCTTGACAATTTTGAGAAGTACTGGTCAAGTATTTTAAAGGGTGACCTACTATTGGGATTTCCCTGATGTTTTTTTCATGATAAGACTGGAGTTATGTGTTTATTTTTTTGGTCAAATTGTTCCAGCTTTGGCCAGTGGGCCTGCACTCTTTGACTTATCCCTATCAATGTGGGTTCTTTTTTGTTTCGTTTTGTATTGTTTTGTTTTGTTTGAGCACGTCCTTACTTTTCGGCATTTTAAGAAGCTCCAGGCTCATCTCGTATATTTCCTGCCCTAGTCCTAGCATCAGCCAATTTCCTCAAGAAGACTTGGTTTCTTTTACTGGGGAATGGTATTAGAAACCAGATCTGGGCACTAGCTGTTGTTCATTGCCACTGGGGTGTTGTTTCTTTGAGGTCCTCTCAGCTGACAGAGCAAAATATACATGTCTATATTAACCGGTGTACACACACATATATGTATACACATTTCTATATGTAACCATCTGCATCTATATTCAGCTAAACAGGAGTTCATGCTGAAGTTTCCAACTCTAATCCATCACCACATAGATCATTCTCTCTTCTTGCTTGTCTGTGAATTCCCACTCCAGCCGCGAGAAACTTGGCTCCCACCACCTGCCACCCATTCTCTCAATAGTCCCATTCCATCACGCGTGTCTAGCAGTATCAGAATTGTTAACCCAGCAGGTTGCATTTTTCCAAAGAACAATCTCTCCCCATCTCACATGTTCTGGAACTTGACACTTCCCAATCAAGGTGTGGAAACTAGGTCCCCTCCTTCTGAAAGCCATTGTGATTGCCTCAACCAACAGTGTGCTGGAAGGACCACCATGAAATTTCTGAGGCTAGATCGCAAAAATGCCATACTCTTTGGTCTTGCGGTCTCGTGACACTCACGCTTGGAACCCAAGAGTCATCGTGCTTAGAGGACATGCAAACAACCTTGGAGAGGGCTGAGTGAGAGGAACTGAGGCGCCCAGCCCTCAGCCTCACCTGAGCTCCCAGCCAGCAGACAGCGACAGCTTGCCAGCCACTGGAGTGAGCCTTCTGGGTAATGAACCCTCCAGCCTCAGTCAAGCTGCCCGTGCTGAAGCCGGTGGAGCAGAGACAAGCCATCCCACCAAGCCCTGCCCAAGTGGCAGATTCTTAGCAAAATAAACGGTCCTTGTTGCTTGAGGTCACTACATTTTGGGACGATACGTTATGTGACAGTGGATCATCTGATACATTATGCCGCTGAGATTTGGGGAGTTACTAGGTGTATCTTGGGCAAATCAATTAACCTCTCTGGGACTTTTCTTATGTGTAAAACGGTGTTTTAATTCTCATCTGCCAGAATTGACATGGAATTAAATGAGATAATGTGGGTGCAGAGCTTGGAGTGTAAAGGGCAGTTGTGATAATCAACTCACCAATCTGTACCATCCTTGGGGGTCCCTTGACCGCCCCAACCACAATAACAGCCGTAGAAGCTATAGTCCGTCAAGGCGTTCTTTCCCGTCACCTTCTCAATCATTGACTTCAGGTCGAGCAAGCTTCCTGGCACAGCAGGCACACCTGAAAGGCAGCCCACGTCCCCAGATGAGACCCAGGCTTAGCTTCTGCAGGCCCGATTTCCCAGCATGCTCCTGCCCTTTCTCCCACCCTGGGGCTTGGAGAGACCCAGGTGTCTCCTTTTCATCCTCCCCCTTCATGGGAAAGGGACAAGGAAGGTAAGGGCAAGCACAATAGCAACGTGGTTAAAAGTTTGGACTTGGAGCCTAAATTCAAATCCTGACTCTGCCACTAATTCATAGCATGATGTTCAAGAGGTCACTTATCTCTCAGAGCCTCGGTTTCCTCATCTGGAAGTGGGGGCCTAAAAGCAATGCCTGCCTCTTGGAGTTGTCATGAGGGAGGGTTAAACTAAGATAAAGGATGTAAATTATGAGCACAGTGGCAGACATATAGTAAGTGACCAAGAAACATTAGGTATAGTTAAGATGGTGTCTGTATGAAGCAGGCAGAACGGCTCTTCCTAGCTTTCCTTACAAAGCACCCTCTTCCCCCCTCCCCCCACCCTCCAACTAACACCACGGACCTTTAGACCTTTAGAGGTCACGGGAGCCAGCTCCCTCACCTTACAGATTGGGAAACTGAGGCTTGGAGGGGAAAGGCGCCTTGTCCAGGGCTTCACAGTGAGCGGGGCCTTCTCCCTGCACCGGGCTTCCCGCTCCTCCAGGGACCTCACAAGGCACCAAAGAGCAGGTTAGCCTGTCAGGAGCCTAAAGTTGGGGTCCCTAGACCCCCATGCTGTGCAGTTACCTCCAGCTGGAAGGTGGCAGCAGGTGGGATGTGCAGAAAACTTGGACAGGCCTGAGCAGAGAGTGACCCAGGAATCACGGAATGGGACATTTATATAAGGGGCTTGTTTTTCATTTTTTGCTTTGGCTTTATTCTATTTTGTTTTACATCAAACAAAAAAATCTGTCTCCTGTGTATAGCCCACACGTCCTTTCCATAGCACGACCTCTACACGTCACCTCCTAGAATCCTGCCACAGCCCTGCCAGATGGCTAAATATTCTCCTATGTCACCGATGAGGAAACAGAGGCTGGGAGAGGCGAAGGCTCTTGGTGATGTCAACACAGTAAGTGCAGAGCCCAGATTCAAACTTAAGCCTCCTTTCCACTACCCTACTGGTCCTAGGGGGTAGAAGGTCACAAGTTCAAAGGTTGTGGGGCCAGCACTTACTACAAGCCAGGAACCAAGCCAGTGTGAGGAGGCCCTTCATCTCTGGGGTTCTGGAAAAGAAAACACATCCCATCACATCCCTATCAGAAGATGCCCCCATGGCGCGCCCCTGGCTTCTCACAAGGCTCCATCCTCTCATGTTGGGCAATAAACGGGCAACCCCAGCAGGAAAAGATGAGGTCAAACAAAGAGTTGATTCCAGGGGTCCCTGGGGAAAGAGAGGCATTCGAAGGGCATTGTCCCTAATAGAGACGAGAGAGAGCTGTCCCGCCACAAACGCCCCTGACACAATTGCCCCTTCTGCAGAAAATGGCTCAAAGTAACCAGAGAAATAGGCAGGATTCTTAAATGGTACAACCGAGGGGCAGGAATTGACACAGACTGGATGTGGCCCTTGATAAAAGGACAAAAGGAGAGAGGGGTGCAGGGTTGGGAGGGCAGGAGGGAAACTGATGGTTTTAATTCTCGTATTCCTTTTATCTTAGGGTGCAGAAGGCCTGTTCAAGGATGTCTTCTCTGCTGCTGTTTTGAGGGCAAAAGCCGGTGGAGTCACGCCCCTCTCCCAGCACTCAGGGCAGCCTGGCCTTGAGTAGGTGCTCAGGAAGGAACCATGAGTATATACTTTGTGATGTGGCTTTCAGGGCCTCATTATGGCTTGTGTGGGTTCCAAGGGCTTTTGCTTTCAAAAGTCCCTTCCTCAAAAAAAAAAAATGATTTTCAAATTATATTTTACAACGGCATTGGTATAAAAACAAATACAACCCAGGCTGGATTCATTCTTATAGATTCATTATTATTACATTCATTTTTCTTCTCCAATTTTAAAAGAATTTAAAATGGAAACATTTCCTTGGGCCCAGGCACTATGCCTACAGTAAGGCAACCCTGGGCGTTCCTGACAGCTCTGAAGGGTAGATAGCATTGTTCCCATTTTGCCAGTGAAGAAATGGAGGCTCAGAGAGCTCAAGGCACTTGCCAGAAGTCACACAGCTATTAAGAAGTGGAGGCAGGGCTCAAACCCAGGCCTCGTGTGTCCCTCAGTGTACCACACAGCCTCCCTCTCCAGAGGGATAAGCCCTCCTTTGAGCCATGGAGTTCACGGGGAGGGATTAGCTTCCCTCCCCGTGAATTGCTGGCCTAGAGCTCAAAAAAATCACACGCAGAGGCACAGGGAATTCCATGTGTCTTGGGCCAGTGCCTGATTCTAACTTGGCCTCTCAGAAGGTCCTTTACTGGCAGCTGCCTGCTTCCCTACCCTCTCTGGATCCCCAAATCCTTGTTCACCCACGGCTGCTCAGATGGCCTCTAGTCTGCCAGGATGTCCCCTTCGGCGACCTGCTGTCTCCAATCCCTGAGTTCAGTGGACATTTCTGACCGTGCTGTGCCCTGAGTCCCTGGCCCCTCCCAAGATCTGGCTCCAAACACACCTCCTCAGACTTGCCGGGGCTCCTGGCTACTTGGGATGGGCTCTCCATGCCATCCCTTGTCCAGCAGCTCCTCTCAATGTTCCAAGAACATTCCTGAGGGTTCTGTTCACCCAGGCTCTCCACTCTGAGGGCTCTAAGTAGCCAAGGAAAATGGTCCGAGGCCCTAACCTTCCACACGAATCTTTCTCAGCTGCTTCCTGGCTGTGACAAGAGGGAGACACAGATACCAATACGGGGCGCCTGCGATGTGCCAGGCACTGCCCACGATCGCGTTAAACCTACCAATGACCCTGGCAGGTGGGCATTGTTAAACCTGCTGGCACCATGTCTGTGCCTCCAGCAGTCATTTATTGAAGGAGAGAATAGCAGCTGTTGACCTTACAGATGAGGAAACTGAGGCACAGGAAGTGGACGAGCGTTGCCCAAGGATTTAGCCCAGGACTGGGACTCCACTGTCTCTGAGCAGCCCCTGTGTCTGAGCCAAGTTGCTCCTTTTCTATATCTTATGATGCTTTGACATCCTGGGGGCCGCGCTGAGCTGGGAAAAAACAGCCCCTCCCAGGACCAGCTAGTTCCTAGAGACCGCAAAAGACTCCCCTGGGAGTGTGTCTTTCATATGCAAACCAACCAATCCTACCCGCCCACGCCCAATCGCCTTCCCTATCTAATTCTCCAGCTCCCAGCCGACATTTCCCCTGCAGACCACTAGCTGCTGCCCCCATAGCCCGGAGTCTGCTGAAATGATTCCAGTTAACCAGTCCTACACTATTTACCCTGACCTGCCTTGCCTTTCCCGGCGGGAAAACCCAGCAGAGGCTCTGAGCCACGGTTTCCACTCGTTTCTTCTGCCTCCTGGTCGGTGGGTGCTTCCCCGAAGCCCTGCCTGGTGCGGTGTACTCCCTTCTCTTGGAAACTGAAACTATTTTTTAAATGGCCCGTCTCCTGATCTGTTGGCTTCATCACACCTGAATAAGACCAACATTCCGGTGCATTTTAGAACACCTTGGGACATGGGCTGGGGAAGCCCCTGCAAAGGGGTCTGAAAGAGAACAAAAGAAGTTTCACAGAGGAGGTGGCAGAGGTATTGAAACAGCTGCCCGGGGGGCAGGGAAGACGGGCAGGCCCCCAGGAGAAGGATGTGGGATTGGCTATTTTTATCCAGCAACCACAGAGGGGGATGAATGCGGCTGGAGCAGTGGCTGCGGTAATGAGAGGTGGAGAGAGTGGCGACAGCCTGACAGAAGCATAAAAATGTGGGGTCTGGGGAGTGGTTGGGTCACTGGAGGGACAGGTCCTGCAAGTCCACATGCAGCAGCCCCCTGTGCCCCTAGGACCCCCACCCCCCACGCCTGCCCAGTTCATGTCTCCCAGCTGGAAAGTATCAACAGCACCAAGTCCCACTGTACAGAAGGCAGGATGGAGGCCTCCCCGCAACCTGTGGGAGAAGCAGTGGAGGGGCCAGGGGTCTCCTCTCACAGCCCCTCTCTGTGCCCTGCTCCCCCTTGGGTAAGGCTGCCCCCAGAATGGGATTCCTCACCAGCGAGACCTTGTCTCCGTCGTCGTCAGGTCTGGAGAAGTGGCAGGGGCTGGGCCCGCCTGGTTTTAAGGGCCTCCCTGCCTGCCTCCCACACCCCTGCCAGCTTTCTGGTAACTGTATTGGAAGCCCTATTCCTCCCTCCAAGACCCCAGGGTTTTTTTTCCCCTCTGTGTTCAGAAGCAGCTATTTCCTGAAGCACATCACGGGAGGTTGGGGAGCTTTTAGGAGGATTAATTGAGTGCCACCCACCACCCAGGGTTCTCCACCAGGGACTGAAAACCTGGAATCCCCCTCCTGGGCACAGCCTCCCTCCAGCCCACGCTCCTGCTCGAATTTCATTCTGTCTCAGCGAGGGACAGGCAGGGCACCCCCTCCAGACTCTGCCCCTGCTCCCTTCCTGTTGTTCCCAACCTGCCAATACCAGCTCTCTGTCCTGCTCCCAGCCTGAGACCATTTAGGAGCCTGTGAAAGCCCCACTCTGGAGTCACTTTAAAATGTTGTCGCCAAGCCCTGCTGTCACCTCCTTTTTTGCACGGACTTGCTACCGAATTCCTGTGTTTCTTCCCTCTGGGAAGGAGAAACCACGGGCCTTGCCGTTAGAGAGTTGCAAGTTGGAGTCCCCCCACTCTGTAGCTGTAATAGCTGTGTGACCCCAGGCAAGTCACCACACTTCTCTGTCCTTGTGACATGAGAATAGTGACTCCCCGCCTCCCCAGAAGCTCAGGGCAGAGCATTCACTTTATATAATTATAATAAGGCCAGGTCAGGAGGCGTGCGGCTCTAGAGGCTCTAGACCAGCGGTTCTCAACCTTCCTAACGCCGCGACCCCTTAATACAGTTCCTCATGTTGTGGTGACCCCCAACCATAAAATTCTTTTCGTTGCTACTCTATAACTGTCATTTTGCTACTGTTATGAATGATAATGTAAGTATCCTTTTGTTTTCCGATGGTCTTAGGCGACCCATGTGAAAGGGTCATTCGACCCCCAAAGGGGTCGCGACCCACAGGTTGAGAACCGCTGCTCTAGACCCTCCTCAAGTCCTGGGTTCACATCCTGGCTTCCCCACCACAAGCTATGTCACCTCCGAGTTAATTATAGTTCACCTATCTCAGAGAGTTGTTGTTTAGGATTAAATGATTTAATACATTTCTAACAGAGCAGTGGCAAAATAATGCTAACAAATAAAATAGTGATCTAGCGTGTTCTTACAAGGACACAGGTAGCTGTTCTTACTCTCCACTTTCCACTTCTGTTCATCCCCACCTCCCCACAGACCCCCCCCCCCCAACACACACATTTCTGAGAAGACACAGGTGCGCCCACCCGCCTCTCTCCCCTCTTGGCAGCACCTGAGAAAGCTGCTCCTTCAGCTCTTCATGAGCCCTTCTCTTCCTTGGGTCTCACCACTAGGCACCCCGTGGAGCCCTGTGAATTCAATTTAATACAAGAAGTACTGACTGAGTGTCTGCTACATGCCAGGCAGTGCTGGCGGCCCGCTGTGAAAAGGCCCCCACAAGCTTCCCGTCTGGTTGGGGGAAGCCAACAGGAAAGGCATCAAGTCAATAAATATACATGCCCGGGGCCCGTAACTGCTGAGGGAAACACTCCCCTGTGTTTCCAAGTTTCATTTCTCCTTCTCCACCAGCTCCTCCTCCTGTCTGCGGGCATGCACAAGGCTCGCCTTCCTAAACCAAAGGAAGCCAATAAAAGGGAAAACCTCTGCTGACCTCTCTCCAGCTTTCGTTTTCCTCTAAAAGCCAAATTTCTGGACAGAGAAGCCTCCACTTGCTCATGGTCCACTGCCTTCTAATCCTTGGCTGCCTGGCTTCTGCTGTGTCCCTGAGCCGGTTCTCAGGGGTCCCCCAAGCCTGGTGTTGCCCATGTTTAGGCTTTACCTCCTCAATCACCCTGTCACCATTTCTTCCTTCTTGAAACTCTCTCCCTCTGGCCTATGAGAAGTCTCACTGTCATCTGCCCTCCTGCTGCTCATCCCCCACCTCTTTCAGGCCCCCAAATGCAGATGTTTTCAAGGGACCTGCCCTCAGGAATCTGCCCCTTCCTTCCCCTCCCCCCATCCTTCACTTCTCCTAGGGCAAGCTTAACGGAATTCAAGGATTTGGGTCTTATTTCCATGCACATTCCCAGAGCTAGCCCCGTCGAGCTGTGTCTAGTACTAGCTCTGACTCCACAATAACACTGAGCAAACCAATGATTGAATATATGAATGAGGAGAAAGCACCGTGTCAGGTCAAAGCGCCTGAGCTTCACGTCAGACAGAACTGGATTCAAATCCGGATATCACCTCTGAACACCTGTGTCACCTGGCCTCTTCAGGTCTCAGTTTTATCATCTGTAAGTCAGGACAATAATAGAGCCTGCTTCATTTCATAATTGTGATAATTCAATGAGATGAGGTAGGCAGAAGAACTCAACACAATGCCTGGCCCTACCAGGTACTTGGTGAATCATAATGATTATAAATATTATAATATTGCTGTTATGTCTTTCCACTAAACCGAGAGCTCCATGAGGGGAGACACTGTGTCTGCTTCATTTCTGTACCCCCAGCATTTGGCACATAGTAGGTGCTCAGTTAGATTTGCTGAGTGAATGCATGACCCCTCCAGCTCTAGCTTCATACTCATCCCAATGCCCCAGCGCACACTTCAAATATAATTTGAATTATTATCAAATTTAAATATTAGGCAGGTATTTGAATATCAGGCAGGTCTTCAAATTTTAATGTAATAATATTATATTAATTTAATATTATAATTAAAATTCAAATACCTGCCTGAGATTCTAATTCAGAGTCTTGCAGAAACCCCAGAACTAAATTCCCTGTCTCCCCCATAATCCAGCCTCTCCCAGCTCCCCCCTCTCTGGTAATGGGTCCAGCTATTCACATATCATCAATTAAAACACCCCAACCACTCCCACCCCCAATAGAATGGAAGCTTCTTGAGGGCAGGATTCTTCTCTGATTCATTTTTGACCCTCAACATCTAGAACAACTTTGGACCCAGGAAAAGTCTTCCAGAAATGCCTGTGGAATGAATGAAACATCCCATAAACATGTCTGCTCTCTGGCACTTGCTGTGTCTATCTTGTGTAGGCTCATTCCAGGGCTGAAGCCCCACTGAGGGCAGCCAGAGACACCTGGACCCTCTGTGGCTCAGAGTCAAACTGCTGAAACACCTCAGGACTCATCAAATGGTTTGATATCCCTGCCCCACTCACCTTTTCCCCTCCCCATCACCCAGGAGGCTGGCACATGAACAGGAGGCTCACTGGCAGAAAGCCTGCATTGAGTTCTCCTCCAGGAAGTTTTCTTTGATTCCTCCCTCCTTCCACAGGAAGCTTTCCTGTCTCTGGAATGTTACAGAATTTATCACACATACTGTCTACTCTGGCATTTCCTGGTAGAGGGGATTACAAGGCTGATGGCTCAGGAAGGAGTGAGAAAGGGTCAGTGCTCAGCGAGCATACACTGCCACAGCACAAGGCAAGTTTGACATTCGTGATCTTTAATCCTCACAAACTCGTGTGAGCATTGTGATCCCATTCTGTAAGAAAGGAAACTGAGGGGCAGGTGTTAGGTAGCTTAGCCAAGGTGTTAGTCCACTTAGCCAAGTGGACCCAGAATCTTAAGCCTGAACTATCTATCACCCAAGTTCACGACCTTTCCATTACAGAAAAAGGTGGAGACCCAATAAAGACAAAAGAAGAGAGTGAGATTTTCACAGGACACCTGACCAAAGTGTCACATGATTTCTTTATACGAAATGGAGAAGCGAAAACTGAGTAGCAGTTATTGCTCATAATTCCCAATAATTAATTGGGAATTGCTTGATGAATCAAACTGAATCTTTGGTTATAAACTTTCAGCCCAGGGCTACATGCAGCCCTAGGAAATGTATTGCTTGTCCTCTTATCCTACACACGTCTCAAAAAAAAAAAAAGGAATCAGTTGCTAATATGTAGACATTAGGAGATGTCAGATAGAAATCCAAATTGTTGGCTTCATTTATTTTTTGTTCATTGACCCTTTTTCCCAGTTTTATGGAGATATAATTAACATACAGCACTGTATATGTTTAAGGTATACAGCGTAATGACTTGACTTACATATATTATGAGATGATTACCACAATAAATTTAGTTAACATCCATCATCTCATATACAAGAAAAGAAAAATGTGATTTTCCCTTTGATGAAAACATTTAGGCTCTACTCTCTTAGCAATTGCTTTCAAATAGAGCACGCAACTATATTTCTAACTATAAATCCGGCAGTCCTAGCTCTGGATTCCTACATGGCAACAACTGGCCAGAACTGAGAGCAGCCGCACACATAGACTGAACATGTGATTAACTTTGCCCTGGTCTTCACCATTGTCTTAAGCCCAAACTGCCTCACTGTTGCTCTCTTCCTGGAGGGCTTTCTAGTGGCCTGCCATAGAACCCGGTCTTGAGTCCTATCCTCTCAGTGTTCATCAGGAATGGGACAGTGAGTACCTGAGCACAGAGGTCATCTCTTATGCGAACCTGTGTGTCAAGTGCTGAGCTCAGGGTCTGGGATAGAGTGGTTGTTCAGTAAATACAGTGTAAGCACATCAGGGCACCCATCCCAGGAGAGAGGCCACTGAGGGCTTCCTGGAAGAGGCAGCACCTGTACTGAATCTTTAAGAGAATTGGAGAAATTGGAGCTTTTGTGCCCTGTTGGCGGGAATGTAAAAGGGTATGGCCGCCGGGAAAACAATATGGCGGCTCCTCAAAACCTTAAAAGTAGTATTAGCATATGACTCAGCATTTCCACATCTGGGTATGTGCCCAAAAGAATAGAAAGGAGAGTCTCAAAGAGATATTTGTACACCCATGTTGACAGCAGAATTATTCACAATAGCTAAAGCATGGAAGTAACCCAAGTGTCCATCAATAGGTGAATGGATAAGCAAAATATGCACACACATAAATGTAATATTACTTAGCCTTAAAAAGGAAGGAAATTCTGCAATATACTACAACATGGTTGAAACTTGAGAACACTGCTGTAAATGAAATAAGCTAGTCGCAAAGACAAATACTATATGACTCTACTTACATGAGATGTTTAGAGTTGTCAAAATCATAGAGACAGAAAGTAGAATGGTGGTTACCAGGGGTTGAAGGGAAGGGGAAATGGAAAGTTATTATTTAATAGGTATAGAGTTTCAGTTTTACAAGATGAAGAGTATTGGAGATGGGTGGCGGTGATGGTTGGACAACATTATAAGTATAGTTACAAACACTGAACAGTGCACTGAAAATGGTTAAGATGACACATTTTATTTTTTTAGCTGAGCCATCCTGCCACCTGTTGGCAGCTCAGCTCGGGCCGGGACTCAAACCGCTGTTGCTCAGAGCTCACATTCTTGAGCAAGCTCTTAACCAACTGAGCCACCCGGCCAGCCCAAGATGATACATTTCAGGTTATGTGTTTTTTATCACAATTTTTAAAATTGTATAAAAAAAAGGAAAATTGGAGTTCACAGGACAAGAATGTGAGGAAGGGTATTCCAGGTGGAAGAAGTTTATGCAAGACTCTTTATGCAAGACTCGTAGGCAGGCATTATAATGGCCTATTCAGGGAACTATAACGTGATGAGGTAACGAGGGGCGTTAGGCAGCAGTACTCTAGTAAATATTTGATAACTGGCTCTCCAGGGGGGAAAAAGCCCTGACTTTTAACACATGCTAATTTCTGTATAGTGTAAATATTTCCACCATGGGCAATTTCACTCCACTAACATAATGTCACTGAGTGCAGAGTAGTTGGGCAAGAATGTGCAGAGCACCCCCCACCCCCACCCTGACTGAGGCAGGATGCATGGGAATTAAGAGCCCAGGATCTGGGACCACCACCACTTATTAGCTGTGTGACCTTGGACAAGTTTTTTTTAACTGCTCTGTGCTTCAGTTTACCAACCTGAACAATGGGTTTAATCATTTTACCTGCCCCGTCCCTATGTTCTGAGTTGATACATGGCAGGCGTCTAGAATTGTGTTGGCACACAGTAAGGGCTCAATAAACATTTGCTATTTTTTACTAAGAAGGTGGGAAATGCCCATACTTCACTTCTTAGGAAAGGGAACTTTATGTGTTTAGTAGAAATTAGCAATGGTGAGAAGGACTAGCTGAAGAGATGCAACTGAATAAGTCACAAACAACCTTGGGTGTCAGGCCAAGGAGCTCAGACATGTCTCTGATTCATCCTGGTGGCCCAGAATGACCTCAACCAATAGCAAGATGATGTGAGTTCAGTAAGAAGAGACTGAATACCGTATTTTGCCGTGTATAATGCACACTTTTTGCCCAAATTTGTAAGGGAAAAATAAGGGTGAGCATTATATGCGAGTGGTACTAATTCCGTATTTGTGTAAATGTTTTTAATTCTTTTATTTATGACTTCAAAGTGTAACTCTAGAAATGCAAAATAATACCCTGGAATGGGATCATAGGTTTTGTTGAACTTAAGATGAACTTGCAACGACAAAGAGCTCTTGGCCTTCTAGGATGTGTAAACATTTTAAATTTGTTACCGGTACATAAAATTTCTTATACCTTGTATCTGTTCCTGTGCTCTGTAATTATTCGTTAGGTAAAATTTCTCGTACCATACTATGTCAAAAACTAAACACTAAAAATCCCTTTATTATAATACAGAAAACAAGTACCTAAATGTAAACAGATAGAAATTTGAATTAAAAAATTAAAACGAAACTTTTTTTTCCCCTGAAAGTTTGGGCCAAAGATGTGAGTGCGCATTACACACGGGAACGCATGATACGTGGCAAAATATGGGAGTTCCTACCCTAAGGTCACCCAAACTGAAATGCACAGGAAGACAGCCTGACAATCATATGTGTGATACCCAAGCCTGGAACCAGTCTGATCACAGCAGCAG